AGATTCAAATCGCAAACGGCGAACTCGATACAACTGCAAAGGCAAAATTATGATCCAAGTAAATAAGGAACTTGGTATTGCGGTAGTGAATATTTACTATGGGCTCTTGCATCCACGTCCAGATATTTGTGCTAAAATGTTGATGAATTTCTAGAGGAAATTGCAAAAAATTCACATCTTACTACTACAGACCTCATTAATTACCTATGACGTCAAAATTTTGATATCTCAAGATATTCACCAAAACGGATTTATTTCTGGAAGTCTATTGCAGGTAGTGATTGAATTTTTTTTAATTTTTAACTTAAAAAAATTAAAATTAAAAATAATTTTTAAGCACTTAACGATATCTCTATACTTCGATATATTTTAATTATTAATGTTTAAAAATTATTTTTAGTTTGATAATACATTCTAATTATTAAATTTTTAAATTCTCGTCACCAATTGCAGGTCAAAAACTTTTTCAACATCACGAAAATCCAGTTGAATCTGCACGTATACTACTTGATGAGCATAATAGTCAAGGATTCCATCAATGTCTTGATATACCAAATTCAGAGTCCATGATCATCGCATTTACAACCCCCTTTTAAATGAAATTAATAATCGCAATATCGATATCAGTGAAATTTATGTAGACGCGATGTATTGAACTACTAGGGAGCATTATGAATTATATAGTATAATAGCAGATATTGATGGAGCTGGATTTCCAATTGCTTACCTTGTGTTTGATACAGCAAAAGCGGTAAATCAAAGTACTGGTGTAGACAAACGCAGCGAAATTCTAAAAAAGTTTTTTGAGGCTGTAAAAGCACGTAGTATCAGACCATCTTTTGTATTCATGGACAAGGATTTTGCAGAAATTAATGCTGCAATGACAGTATGGGAGCCATCTGTGGTACAATTATATGCTTGGCACATGGGCCGGGCTATAAAACTTAAGCTTAAAGAGAAGGCTAAACGATCAAGTAATACAGGACTAATAAGTGTAAATTACAATGCCCATAGAGCAGCTAATAAGTTTAATTTTATAAGCCCAACTTTTTATCCAAGCGAAGATGGCAGAAACCCAAATACATACGTTATATGTCCACAGGTATGAATTAAGCCAAAATTTTCGGTTAACTAATCGGTTAACTAAAATTGTCGCTATTAACTGACTAAATATTATAGTCGCCTCTCTTTAAATGAACTGAAAATTCTTATAGTAACATTGGTTTATCATTGATATTTAAATAAATAATCAATGATAAACCAATGTCCTATTTTCCCTTAGCATTATTAATATAATTAGTCCAATAGTAATTTGGCTGTTTGAAATTAATAGAATTGATTATATAGTATTAAAAATATTATAAAATAATTGATTAATTATAACTAATTTGATTGATTTTTAATTTATTCTTACCTAAAGGTGCATCACAAAATGATTTTGAATATAATGCAAAAACATTTTGATTTACACCTTCTTATACTGGTTGATGACCAGGGAAATGGTTTGTCACCTGAGAATATAAGGCGAAATGCTGTAGAGGAGATGTACCAGTTTTGTGTTGCAAATTCACTGAAGCTATTATGGGCTTATCTCTGGACCAATTGGTACTCTTCACAATGATGGCACCTGTGGGCACAATTAGCTAAACCTACCATTCCCTCTAGCAAAACCACAATGAAAATTGAAGCACATTGGGGTGTCCTTAAGCGGTGTTATTTATACCACTTTAATCGGCCTAGGTTAGATTTGCTTCTCTGGACACTTTTCAAAAAAGTGATTCCAGCTCAGAAGGAATGGCTTTCTCAGGTTTTGAATGGTATAGTAGAGCCATGGTGGTGGAAGAGTTTTAAAAAGGATTGGAACTACACTGGTGCAAGTAATGAACAACGAGCAGAGATGCGTAGTAATAAGCTCAGCAAAGGCAAAAGAAAATTGAGCATTAGTACAGAAACAGTAAACCCAGTTGGTCATACTTCACTGATATCACTAGGTGGGTTTGTAGTTGTTCTAGCTTTGTTAGTAGTCATTTTCTATTATGCAAACATTTAGTACGAAAAGTTGTAGGTCTACCTAATGGAGATCATTGAAGGCTGATTAGAAGTAATTTTGAATGCCGTACTACACCACCATTCCTTGTCATAAGAGATTTTATAAATGGTGAATTTATAACCAGTACTTTACCTATACTATCTGCAGCATCTGTTGAAAGTTTTAAAGATCATAACATTGATAATATAATTGATAATGATATGTTTAAAGATCAAGATGATGCTCACACCTTTGTTTAATCAAACTGGCCATTGTTTAAACAAGCATTTAAATGAGCCTGTACTGAAAAGTCAGCCAACAATTGGAATTATGTTCGTGCAGTTATGAAGTGTAGTAAATTATTGGAAATAGAGAAAGAGGTGCAGGCAGTAGAGTGAAAAAAAATCAGCTGGCTACTTGGGCTCCAAAGAATAGAAAACCATATATAATGTATTTATTATTTCCAGATGAGGTGGATAACCATAAGCTGGAAAGCATAACAATTAATCTGAGTAATATAAATAATTAGTGTGTAATAACTATAAAACCACAACAATGATATGTATTTTTATTATCGTTTACTTTGAATCTTTGAAAATTTTGTACACATATTTAATACTTTCAATGAATGAATAGCATTTAGATTAGCCCTGTAACTTTTAATATAGATTCTACAAACGGAATACTCTTAATAAATTTTACAAGTTAGAGGAATATTTAATTTAAAACATAGAATATTAAATTCACTTTTCCTTAAGCGGGTCAAAATGTGAAAGGGTGACCTAACGATCATACAGTATAAAAATTTATTTGATTATCTAATTCTTCTAATTCGTCGGCTGCAACTGCAGCAGTGGCACTACTCACATGACCTGTAAATTTGAAGGCCACCCTGAATGATTCTGATTTTTATATATTGTAACAAGTGACAATTAGCATCATAGTTTCGTCAGAAACACTACTACCAATTAAGTGTGTTTTTTGTGGGTGATTGGTTCGTTTGGTCAGTGTTGCCGCCTATCTTCTGCTAGCAATAAATAGAATTTATATGCACATATATAACTTGTAGTTGGTTTGTGCAATCAAAATTTATGACACAACTGTATTAGTGGCTAGACTCATATAAACCCGTGACTCACGTATTGAACTCAGAAAAACCACAAATCATTTGATTGAATTACTTATTCAAGTTTTGTTCGAGTAGTTCTAGTCACAGCAATTAATTTATTGATAAATTTTATAAATTTCGAGTCACAAAGCAAATATAATTCAATTTTTATGTCATAAAAGCACAATTAATTCAATTTTATATGTTATAAAAGCACAATTAATTCAATTTTATGTCTTAAAGCACAAATATTTCAATTTATGTGTTATAAAACAAGAGATTTAGTTCTAATCACCAGTGGTAATCATAACCGGTCTAGGTTAGAAATTAGAGAATCATTTTTTTTTATATAATATAATATAGAGCTAATATAATGTCCCAATTTTAGTTTTTGTAAGGTTTTCAGGGGTCCTGAACATTTTTACTTAGAGTACCCAAATTGTTTCTAAGTAAATTTTTTTTAGACTTTAAATTAAAATATCTCGACAACTATTAAATCTAACTTGAAAAAAAATTTTTTATTTTAATGCTATTTAGTTATAGAATTAAAATAAAAAAATTTCATTAAGTTTGGTTTTAATTTAAAATTTTAAAAAAACTTACTAAAAACAATTTCCTGACACCCCATATAATAATAAGCACCCTGATGATGATCACTACCAGTTATAGTTACGTACTAAAATACATAAAACAAATATTAATATATTGATATCTAATTAGTGTTAAAAGCATTTGGTATTATGCTAAATTACTTAACTGTTATATTGATATTTAATTTAGATAATTGATCTTCCTCAAATTTGCTTTCTTTAGTAATTTTGCATTTAACTTATTGTATATATATACCTGTGTAATATCTATGCGCTCAAAAATTTTCGCTTATCAAATAGCAGTCATATATATACAGATAATGCCAAATAAAGATTAAAAAGGAAATACATTATTTCAAGACTGCATTGAAAAAAAACAAAACCAGAAAAACCTTGTATAGAGTTAATACCTGAATCCAGATTTAACACCTTAAATCCAGATTTAATAATTATATCCAGATTTATTCATAATATCTGGATTTAACCATGATATCCAGATTTAATTATAATATCCAGATTTAATGTAATAATACGTATGTCCAATTGGCCAAAAAAAAGTAAAAAAAGAAATTACAATACGCTATTAGAGTTAATACTTCAATCAGAATATATTTTTTATATTCGAATATAAATTTAAATCCAGATTTATTTATATCTGAATATAAAAACATTGTGTCATATTATATCACATGACATAGTATATATCTGGATATATAAATCTAGATAGAGATATTAACTCTATATGTTATTTCTTTATAATGAAAGCAATTAACTTGGATCTGTTATGTGAGTATATTTATGAAATTGTTAATTTTAATAGCATTCCTGTTTGCACAAACTAAAAAACTTATAAAAGAATAGTAAAATATTGTAATGTAATTATTTAACTTTTATTAAACTAAATTATACAGTATTTTTTGCATATTCTATTATTATCTAACATTACTAAATCATAAAATTATACATTTTCAGGTGAAAACATAGGAAAGTGATTAGAATTTCTTTTTAAAAACAGCATCTTATCTACTAGGTTAGGGTCAAGATGAGTCTTTCTAGCTGAAATATGTGCATTTGCATCAGAAAACAAGTGTTCTGTTAGGATTGATGTAGCAGGAATAAATAGGTACTTGTGGGCAAGTTAGCTAAAAAGTAGATAATTTATATATTCAGTTTCTCACTATATTAATGGGTTATAATTTTTATGAACAATTAGTTCTTTTATATAGTGAGTGAATTCATTTTTAGTATCTTGGTCAGATATTAAAAATGATTCCTATAGCTCAGCACTTAATGAATCTTGAAGATTTTCATTAGTAGTTACTAAATTTCTTTCTGTTTCTTCGCTATTTAAATTGGTTATCTGAGTTTCTTATATTAATATTTTAGTATAAAACTTGGCTTTAGTTTCTTTTTTCTCTTGAATAGTGGCAAATAGAAGCAACTTTAATGTTCATAGATCTAAAATGGAAGCCTTCAAGTAGTGTTATTAATCAAACCAAAAAAAATATAATCAATTAGTTGGTCAACTTAATTGTGTAGCTGTTATTTAAGTAAGATACTATATAGAACAACTAGTCGATTGACTAGTTAATTAATTTGAAACATTATCTTTAAGCCTATTTCATTGAATGTGCTCCATAATTTATCAAGAGATAGAAAAATAGCAGCACATGCTTTTTCTAAAAGCCCAAAACAATTTGCAAATAGCAAATATTCTATATTATTAGAATCATTTAATTTAGAAATTACTTTTTTTTTTTTTACTTATATTTTTTTTTATGCCTAACCTGATTTTTAGAGTGATGTACACTTTTGTGTATATATTGCTATTATTGCTAATTTTTATCTAACAGTATGTCAGCTTTGTTATCACTACTAATACTTGACTTATCAGTAGTATTTAACTCTTCTAAGCTATAGATAAGACAATTTAAGATTCTAATAATTTTTTGTTTTCACTTATTGGTATGAACTTATTTTTTAGAATACAAATATAAGGATATACGAGATTTAGGGTAGAATATTTTGATTTACAAATATGTCTTGTAATTTCTTCAAATGGTTTTAAAAGATTAACTATTTGTTTTACAAATCTTAAAAAATATATATATTAATACAGTAATAAAATAATATGTAGTTTCTAATATTATACAATAGTAGATCAGTACAATATAGATATAGAGATGAACAAGATAATAATAATTATATATTTTTTTACCTGCACTTACACTTATATATTATTACTAATGAATTTATAACTTATTATTTATTGTATAAGATATTAGAAGAAATAATAATAAGTAATAATAAGTAATAATATGTTACTGCTTTGCCTATCTCTATATAGGTGTTTTATAATCCTATATTATACTGATTTGTAATAATCTTATATTATTTATGACTAGAATTGTAATTAAGATTATATTTAATATTAAAACATTCTCTTTTTCTTCTGTAGTTAAACACAATTTAAGAAGCTTTTTACTCTTCTGTTTTGACATAGCATCTGGCTTATTTTGTAATGATGTTACAAGCCTTAGCATTGCAGGATACAACAATAAAATTCATTTTTATATAAAGTAAGTAGAATTCTAATGGGTCTTACAGTCAGTCAAAATATTAAGTAGATTTATTATTTCATATTTAGCATCATCTTGGTTTTCATCAAATGAACTCATTTCTATTTGAATTCTTTGCAATCGCTGCACCTGCTTTGGAAGTTTAAAAAATAATTGAATACTTTTAAGCTATTTATGAATTGGCTTAATTTGTTTTAACTCTTCTTTTACTGTAAATTGAAGAGTATAAGCAATGCATGATTGTCAAATAATATTAGGCAAGTAATTTTCTTTTAATAAATTAATTCCTTTTATTTATCAACTCTTCCTGACAATCACCTGAACCAAAATTTTCTGCTAAAGAAAAACCAGAACTACTTGTTGGAAAGTCGTGGCCTATACAGTGGTTTGTCTAGAGGTCAACTACTACTCTCGAAGACTTCTCTAAAGAATAATATTTGGCATGCAAGCCAGGAGCGATATTATACAAGATAACTGGCAGGTGGTGCCCTTGTATAAAAAATCTTGGTGGAGTATAGGTGGTAAGGCTCTATTCAATCGATAAAGCTGTTAGGTTGTTACTTCAATGAAGAATATAGGAAAAACAACAAGAAGCTCTGCTCTTTCAACACACTCATTTAAAAAATTTTAAAAGTATTTATAACTCTTTTCTCTCATTTCCACTTTTCTTTAGTTTTGCAAAAAATTTTTCTAAAAAGTGGAGATTTGGCTTACCCCTTCCAAAAAATTGACAGTGTTTACATTTCAAATCTGAATAGCTGAGTAGACTACAACTACATGTTCGATGGATATGGTGCTACTAATTTGGACAGGTCCCGAGTTCTAATGGTGGCAGCAGGTGGCTTGAGATACGGGTCTACGAACAGCGGCAGCACCTGGCTCGAGATACAAATTAGATCAGAACCAAATATTCCAGGGTCAGTCATATGGTCAGAAAGGAACAATAATGTTAAAGCAAAGCTTTATAGTAAAGATATACAAATGTTGTATTTGTTATATAATTTTTATACTTGTCTGGCACAGGTTATTATAGTATATTTTTCTTTTTTTCTTTTTTTGTTTGTTTTTGTGCTATTTCTTAATAGAGGTAGTTGCTATTTCTCACAGGAGATAGCTTTTTCTTGTTTAACCTGTCAGGGCTTATCTCTTTGTTTTTTCTTTTTTTACATTTTCTGTTTTCTCTATTTTTTATTTCTTATTATTTTCCCCTTCTTGTTTTGTTTCTTTTTTGTATGTAAACTTCTTTTCTTCTTAATGTATATTCTAGTATTGAGAATACAGAACATTATTTTCTTTTGCTCTTAGTGAAGAAAGTAAGAATGAAGGAATAAACTCTTGGCAGGCTAACAAGGTCTTCTAACTTATATGTAGATTGGTGCAACAAGTCACTTTTGGGCACACTAGAAGCAGCCAGGAGATGTCAGGCTTGCAATTTTTATATACTGATATTATTCATTCTATCCAAGTTTGTTTAAATTAAGTATTTTATTTGAGCTTCAGCAAAGATGTCAAAGAGCTAAAAAAAAAAAAATTCCTTTTATTATGTTAGCACTATTATCTATTACAATTGTATGCACTTTATCTACTAATCCCCACTTATACATTATAAGAAATAATTTTTCACTAATACTTTGATTTATATATAGATATGGTATATGATTATTTGAGAGTAATACTTCTTGAAGCTTAAAATCAGATATTAGCCATGTTGCAGTTATATTTAGATAATTGTAATTGCTCTTCACAGTCTACAAGTTTGTTGTCAAATTAATAGTACTAACATTTAATAATAGCTCTTTAAGCTTTTCAAACCTCTATGAATAAGCTTTAGAGATATATTTTTTACTGTATTAGCACTTGGTATTTGATACTGTGGTTTGAAACTACATAGAAGCTTATGGAAAGATAGATTTTTTAACATGTGTAATAGTTGAACATCGTATACAATGAACTCTACCACAAGCTTTGTTAATTTTTGTTGCTTTTTAGACGAAAGAAAAGATAGGTTTAGATCTGAATTTGATTTCTGATTAGTTATTATTATAGGCTATTAAAAAATAAAAAATTTGATTATTTGAAATTTGATTATTTTATTATTAAATAAGAATTTTACTTTATTATCATCATCAAGATATCTTTTATAATTTCTTAAGTTTATGTAATATTTGGTACATAAATGTGTGTAATTAAATGCCCTGTACTTTTTTCTAATTTGCTATATAGGTATGGACTAGCTTAAATTCTATCTAGTTCATCTAATTCCTCTAATTCCTGAATACAATTTTACAGTATATAACCATGTTATTGTTTTGATCATCTTTAAAAAAAAATCAAGTAAAGGTAGTATTTCTCTTGTTTTTAATAAGTCGCTAGAAGAAACTGATGAAGTTGATGAAGCAGATTGGATTGATTGGGTGTTAGTGATATTAGCAGTATTAGTTCTAGTAGTTCATTTTTTTTTCTAGGATTAAGCATCATTGAATAGAATTTTTTTAAACAGAACTTTAATAAACTCAAAATTGGTGAAGCCAACTATTTATAAAAAAAATTACCTTTATTTTTTTTTAAAAAAATATATAGTATATATTAATATTGTTATTGATACAAGTTATACATGTTCTTAAAATACAAATTTTATTATAAATGCAAAAGCTTATATAGTCATACTTCTCTAAATATAATGTAAATTTTATTATAAACCCATAAGCCTTCATGGCCATACTTCTATATATGCAAATTTGTAAAATACAATTTTATTACAAGTCAACCATGTTTTTAAATGCATGTTCTCAAGTTGCAAATTTATTATAAACTCTTCTTTAAGCTTTTACAATCATACTCTTCAAAATACAAATTCAAATTTTATTATAAATTTCTATAAGCTTTTACAGCCATATAAATTTTATATAGACCAAATACATTAACTAATTATTTGAGAAGTATATAATTCCCTATTTTACTTGGCCCTTGCTAATATAACTTTCATTGACCTGATCTTCTAAAATCGATTTTTATTATATCTAATATATATTTTTATTATTCAATTCTGGGTTTGTATACTTTAATGTTTTTTGATTGGTCATATCAGAAAAATATAACCCAAATGTAGGAAACCTTATATAGTGTGAGTCTCAAAATCCAAACTATCTACTGTGGCTTTATACAATTTACAAATATAGAATCAAATGCAATTTATCACATTTATCCAATATATTGAATATATTGAATATATTCTATTTATTTGATTTACTGAATTTATCTGATTTATCAAATTTATCTAATTTATCTAATATTCATTTTATTGCATTTATTGAAGTTATTGTAATACTAAATCTTTATAATATAAATAAAGACTATGAAGGCCTAGAAAAATAAATTTTATGCTGCTTACAACTATTGTCTCAAAATAAAATACACATTTGACTCATATAACCCTCTAAAGTATCTAAATAAACCTGCTATACTAAATACTTTATACCTAGATCTATTGCTAAGTGGCATAGTAAGAGATTTTTGCTCATTAATTGTCTTGCTTATATAACTTCAAAGAAAATTATTTTCTATTTAATTCTTAATAAACTGAGAAATACTATAATTTCCAACTCTCTCAATATACAGTGGACAGTTGTGGTTGTTTTGTTTTAGTTTGAAGTCCAAGAGGAAGAACCAAGCCATAGTTTTTGCAAACTGATAATTATTAAGAAGAACTATTACTATATAATTATATACTCCTCATTACAAAAAAAAAACTCTTTCTGTCTATTACTTGTACACAAATTTTTCCCAGCTTAATTATTTTAAAACATATCTTATAACTTTATTTTCTACTAAGTTAATCTTGGTTTCGCTACTAAATAAACTTATTCCTAACTAAAAAATACAT